ATTCTTTGAGTTAGGAATGCAATAATTTGTCGTTCCTGCAGAAATTCATATTTGTTGACCTTATTCAGAGCCCCGCAGCAACTGAATCCGACTAAGGGCAAATTATTAACCCAGTTAATATTTATTTTACAAAAAGAATTTACGAAATTATTACAGTTACCACACCAAGAAGAAGGTAAGTATCTGCAAAACCTCCTATAACTATTTCATAAAAATAACCCAGCGGTCTAGCACAAGAGTTATATTGCTCGTATCCTGAAGAGCAGAAATCATACGACGCAATTCTGCTGGTAATCAACACCGACTTGGACGCGCGGCTGTAGCGCGTCACAACTCATTGCGAGGCCGCAATAAAACTAATGACTTGTACCATGGCAAGCCAATAGCGGCCCTCAGGGGATACGGCGTTGTTTTGATGATGGAAAATCCAGCTGTAATGCTACCCTGAATATTGAAAATTATATAAGGATCACAAGCACACAAGTTGAATAACATTCAGATAAATAGAACATAAAATATTTCCATTCCAATGTTATTTCATCCCAACGCAGGAACCGCATGTTAACCATGTTTTCTGGGCCTCTATTATTATGAGCCTCGAGGTATGCCATACCTCTAATAAATGCCGGCGTACAGACTCCTTTCGTTCCTAACAGTGAAGGGCGTACAGAGTTAGCATCCGGGCCAGGAATGAGCGGGCTGAGTTACTTTCATCCAATGTACGTACAAAAATTATTTCCGTAAATTAAGTGCGTACAATGTTAGCATCCAGGAATCTACGCATGGAGTGGCATAGAGGAATGAGCGTACAGAGTTGGGATACAGGAATGCGCGAGCAGAATTAGCTTCCATATGATAGAGCATTCGGACTTGGTTTCTATCATGTACAGAGTGAGTTTCCAGCATGGCACGTCTACAGCTCCGTTTATCAAAATTGCGCAGCTGATTACCTCTTGCTAGGAGGAAAGATAATTATAAAAATGTCTCCCCCATGGATAAATAATTAAACAGATCGATTGTGTGATAAGTCGTCGACGGAAGGAATAGTGCGATTAAGCAAGTTACTCAGGCGACGTCCAAGATGTTAGTGCTTTTGAGCAAGATTCATCGTATTCATTATCAATCATTCAAAGATCAGTTGTGCGTTATGCATGAAAGATTTACCTTTGCTCCAGCGAGTGAATTATAGGAACGATCAATGTGATCATGAACGACCATGCAGATATAAATATTGATTTAATCTGTGTATCTCGCTTCTCACAGCTTAATTAAAATCGATACTCCGTCAGTATTTAAAATGTACAAAAATTTTATTCAGTAATATCTCAATAAACTATTTTCATTCTATATAGCACAATAGCTTTTCAATCATCAATAGTTTCATAGTCGCCATACATTCTTGAGGAAACAATGCCACAGCCTGCTTCAACCTAAACTCAGAGTCTTAAAACGACCGATATTGGGACGCTTTATCGACTTAAACATATTAACCTCTCCCCGTTACTATCGCTGGTGTGATCGATAGTAACGATCTAATTATGTAGCGGTCCAACTAATGGCAGCGCTTCTTCGTTTCCTGTTTTAAGCCGCCGCGCAATTCTCCAAACTTGACTTGAGATTAAAATGCAAAGCCCCGTCCTCGATAGGAGCTATAGTGGCGGAAAAAAACAAGAGGAGGAGGGTTCCGAACTGAATGATATTCACTTGGTCGGCTTAAAATATGTCTAATATTATAATTGTAATTAGAGATGGAAATTGCAATTAACTCTGAAAATAGGCAACAATCTTTTGACTTTATATTTGTCCCCTTTTCTATATCTCTTTATCTTGTCAAACTGGATAATTATGTTATAAATATTTTGTTAATTTTTACAAAGTATTTCAACGTCTTCAAAGTTTGACACCTTTAAATAAATGTAATGTTCCTGCATGATTCGCTTAAATCGCTCAAACATCAGCCATCATCGGCCTGCGCGGTGAGACCGGGTTAAAATATGAATTTTATGGAATTCTTCTACAACAGTCATACTAATGGAATAATTAACATCATTTTAAATTAATTTTTGGAAAGGCTAAATCGCTGAGCACATTTTTTTGGGGGAAGGGGGCAAAAAAATAATAACGAAGGTTTATATTCAACTGAAAATTATCAATGAAGATTCAAAAATCATGCTGTGTCCACACAATGGTAAAGCCAAAAATTCAGACCAGACCTTGTGCATAGCCAAACTCATTAGGAAAGATAATAAGAAGATTAGTTGGTGATAATAGAGAACAATATATAACATTTCACGCACGTTACATCAACTCTCAAGGCTTTTTGGCAGAATCAATTATTTAATTAGTATTATTAGCAGAGCATGATTTGCTTCTCAGTTTTGCAGAAAAACGTTGCGTAGTATTAAGGACAACAGGGATAATTTCTTTCGCTGAGAAAGTATGCCAACACCGAAGTTTGGATGCTGAGCTTAAGTCTGGAGTCTGAAGGCGGTCTATTGTTGTTAACCTGTGCATTATTGGAGACCAGCACGACAACCTGGCAGTAATGTTCTGTTCGACGCCAGCCGTTTACTTAAACACGGAGATTCTCACGAATCGCAACCGAATATTTAAATGTTTACAGATCTGGACGACAGTCTTTATGTAATTTTCATCTTATTTAAAATGTATTTTATCTAAGAAGCCTGATATTAAAATTATATTTAGTTGTAATTTGACGGCATTATTTACCCGTAATTATCTCGCAACGGACGAGAACACTCTGGACGTTGCAATGTAGTTCACTCGTACATTTTACATTAAACTCCATGCATTACTCACAATCAGATTTTACTAATTACAAGAATTTCTTAAAAGATTTTCCACTCGCTGGATTTGCGCTAACTAGCAAAGGGAAACTCTGGACACCTAATCTCCTTACCGAATCGAAATTACGCCCGAGCGTGGATAGAACTCTCCTATCTTAAGACTCCCTCACCTCCATCTTCAAAGTTCATGCTATATACGGTGGAACGGGCGCGAACAGTACATGTCACGCTCACTAATTTAACTAAGAAGGTTTGAGCGCTGCAAGCCTTTGTCCTAACACATTTGGAGGCAAGCGACTTCTGAGTTACTCTCACATGAAATTAGCAAGGTAGAATTTACAGGGATATAAATGAAGAATAAAAAGTACTTCAAAATAATTTCCCCATTAAGAATAATAATTTGCACTCATTTCGATGTTGTAAATCTATTTTCTTTTGAAAATGGATTTGAAATTCCATTTTTTTAAATAGATCCATTTTCTTTTGAAAATGGATTTGACACTTGAAATCCGTCAAAATACTTTTTGACTCTTTAAGTTTAGTTTAGTGACCAAATGTTATACTAGCGCTTCAGCTATTTAGCTATCTGGCACCGAAAGTCAAGATGAACATCACCAAAGAGGTGGAAAGTCTCAGTTATCGAAAGTTTCTTGAATCAAAAAATTGTTCATCACCCACATATGGGGTGGAAGATCTCAGATGTCCTGCCCGCTGAAGCTGGCTCGAAAGAAGAAGCGTACGCATCTAAAAAAGACGAAGTAACAAGGAGGGATAGGTGACAAGGAGGGACAGGTGAAAAGCAACAGAAACCAAGACATCCAAACAAGAGGTCGCTTACACGGGACGTCGGCCGCCCGCACGAGAGAGACAGAGACGGGAAATTCAAGGAATCCTACCTACATAATAACTTAATGAAAGGAATGCTACCTACATAATAACTTAATGTAAGGAATGCTACCTACATAATAACTTAACCCCACAACTGAGACCTGCAGTCAGACACCGCGAGCTGAGGCGCGGTGGGGCGCTCAGGAACAATCCCCCTATAGGAGCGCGAAATCCCATATAGGACTTCTGACGAGCACAAACACTCGTCAGAAGTCCCCCTGAAGGTATGATTTTTAAGAGGCAGGTAATTTTTTACAATATCATTCGTGGAAACATTTCGAAATCAAAAGCTAATTACAACTAAATGAAGACAAAAAGTTTAGTGAGTCCAAACAAGCAACTGTATGAGCTGATCTAGCAGTAATATTGCAGGTCATCAATTTACCGGAGGACTCTAAGCCAACCCTTGACCTTAGATAAATCGGCATACATTCAGGAGCTGCGGGTTGAAATTTTTCTGCAGTCTATTTTTTGTTCTCTGGGCCAGCCCTTATGACGCTCCAGGCTTGGATCGAGAAGCTCAAGCACTCATTGAGTTTGCTGCTAAACTCTAGAAAACCGCAGCGCCAACATCACCGCAAGAAACGCAAGTCTAAAACATGCATGATGACTTCGGCAGTTGGTAAACAGCAACCCTGCCGCAATAATACGAGTAAAAATACACGTAAACATTTCTAAGTTAACTTAATTCAAAATTAGCATCGTTTCATTGCAAATAAAATGCAGAATGCATTGGCAATAAGAATTGGGTATCTCAGGGCAAAACCCGTACAAGTCGACAAATTAAATAGCGAGCTAACTTTTGAAGTCCCTCAGAAGAGATTCATCGTGCAGCCCTCCAATTTGAGTTCGGTGAAGAAAAATCGGCATTGCAAACTTCCACAAAATTTGCATGAGGCTTTACAAACGAGCAAAAATATAGACTGATATGAAACAACTCAACAACTTACTGAAATAAAGCCACTGTATATGAGTGCAGGCACAGTTACACGAAACGAAAACAAAAATATATTCATATTAATAAGAAACCCAATACATTTAATGCTGAAAATTATTTAATTTTAGCGAATGGGCACTTGAACTTAATTTTTACCCCTCCATAAAGAACGTAAAAACTTTATCAATTCATTGGACGAGATCAGTATATGAAACTCATCTGTGATTCCATTCTCATAACTAGGAGCACGATAGAAATTTAACTAAAGGAAAAAACTACCTTATTATTCATGGAAGTATCATAACTTAAAATGGGGAAGGTAAATTATTAACCATGAGACAATTTAGATGAATTAGCCCAAGCCTTACCTGAGCGTGACGCCGTGCGAAGCAGGTATGAGCTCGTCCACGGGCTCAGCGCCCCCCAGACTCTCCGAGACGATGTGGATGTATTCAGAACTTGAGATCTGTACGGGGTAACATAAACGCTTATTAGATATCAAGAATAAACATGTAATTGAATAGATCAAATAGAACTTATACGAAGTGTTGAGGGTAAAAAATTGTAAGTTTCTGAATAAAAATACATTTTTGAAATAACAATTTCTCACGAAAACGTAATTTAAGTTTTTTATTCGTAACGACAAAAAAGTATTGTATTTTACTAGTAATGTTACCCGCACCAAGAAAGCATGGAATCTAATAGATTAATAATCAGGATATCCGATTATCCTTATCATCCTAAGAGACTATTATGCTTCATTAAATTAAAAAATGGGGAGGCATCCTAAAACAAATACTGAAGTGTAGAAAGGTGGCATAATTCAATTTGGCATAATTCATTTATTTTTCTTATCCTTCAACTCATAATTCATTTATTTCTTCTTATCCTTCAATGCAATCTCAATCACAGCCACAGTGGCTTCTCCCACTCATTCACAATTACGGCAATGCTCTCCTCATCCGATCTCCTAAAACCTAGAATATGCTACGGGGCCATTTCTAAGTAATCTTTCTTCGCATATTAAAAGAAATTGTGCTGGAAAATCCTGTTCATAGTAAAAACAATACTATAAAAACCCTAAATCTAAAAATACTCAACGAGAGCGAAGAAAGTAGTGCTAGGAAAATCAAAATGGCTCTGGGCAACGCATTGCATACCTTTTCTTTACTGATTTTTGGATACTTTTCTACACAAGCTTCAAGATTTTCCCATGTTGGGAAAAAAACCTTGGAGGAATTCGTTAAAAAACGTTTCGGGCCAAGAAATATACAAAAATTCGCTGCACGGAAGTTTGAAAAAACGTTTGATTAATGAAGTGTATTTAGGTACGCAGATAGTCACGTTCAACCAAAGAATTGCGTCGCGGTCCTAGCCTGACTGATAAGGCGTCCTGAATATGAGTAACATTGACGAAGTGTTTGCCCATACCTAAATGCCCTGTTCAACCTAAGAATTGCGTCGCGGTCATCCTCGTATGACGTGCGGCAAGAGGGAGGGATACAAATGTCAGGACAGTGACCTCCTGCTCCGTAAAGATGAGGTGTGCTTAGCACCTTAGCATGATCTATAACACAAAGTTATACAAGCCTCACATGCATCTATCATTCTAAAAACGAATGCTTAAATATCACAGAGCTACTCAAGGTTCGTTGTGATTGAGTGGCATGTGTTGTAACGTCCAGTGCGGGTACAACGCGAAGTTTTCGTACGATCTAGTTTGTTTTAAATACCTCTAGTTAGTTTAACCGGAACTATATTAAGAATTAATGGTACCTGCCCGATCATTAATTATTCTGTTGCTGATGCGAGTAGCAAAACTGGCGAAAAAAGAGCAAAGTGGCATTCATTGAAGTTATTTTTCGATGAAAGGCAATTATTGCATTGGAATAATTCTAGTCGAAAAAATCGCCCCTCACTCCATATTTCGGGAGGCAAACTAGGATATAAATTATAAAAAGTGTTCCAACATGGCCAATAAAGGCAGACACGATATTCCTCTGATGAGTCGTTTTGCCTCCTTATTCTGTTTGCCATATGAAAATATAGTGAATAGAAAAACTGGTTACGAATAGCAATTTAAAATTAAATTCAACAGCACAGATATAATTTATGATACGTTGACAGATACGTCAACATCATTAAATTAATTTCTTGATTTGTATATCTTCGATTCAGGGGATATAGAATACATCACTAGCTGATACTGCTGAGAAAACAAGATAGGTCGAGTCTTTGCGTGGCCATTTATTGCCTAGAAACTCCAGATCCAATACAAAGTTCGTGGCACCAAACACATGGCCGGAGGCTCAAAGTACCGTGAAGGCTTGCGGGGCGAGCAGCGCAGAACTCGTATAGGTTCAAGCGCAATATACAGGGACAAAACAGTTCGTCAATATGCATATGCATATGGTGCTCTGTACCTATAACGTTTCATATAGTTTGAACACCTACTCATATACCTAATTACTCTAAATGAGAGGATTCATAGAAAATAATTTTGCATTTCATTACCTCAAAATGAGACACTTCTTATTTCTAAATAAGCTAAACCTACTGTTTCATTTATTTACACCCAAATGCAAGTAAGACACGCGTAGGCATTTGATTATTTCTGAAATTGTAGCAAAACAGGCTACCTAAATTCTAGCAACTCACAATCGCGTGAAATGAGCTATGTAACATAAACTATTAAGTTCTTACATGCATGAACAAATTTGCGTTAAAATTTCACACTGAATTTCTCCATAACCCCGAAACGACATTTTCCCCGAAACCATTTTAATTCACACACGAAAATGGCTCTAGGGCAGAGCCCGGAATTGATTGAGTTTGAGCTCAGCGTCCAGAAGATTGAAGTTCCCTGAGACGCGGCCCGTCAGCGGATTTATGAGAGCCAGCTTCTTCAAGCATTGAATTAAGTACCTAACATTAGAAGGGCAGAACAAAACTCTAGCGATAAAAAAGGCCAATATGTAACTGTGAGGGTTAAATTGAGCAACCAAGGGTAACGATAAAGATCAAGAGAGTGGCTCTCCACAGTTGTTTCAAATGACGTTGAAACAACGTTTAATCGACGTTGATTCAACATTATTTACCTGGAGGGTCTTTACTTACAATAAAATAAGAGTAATTTTGCTACACCGAAGATCAGAGTGCATGAAATTTCCTATCTTTAAAACAAAAAAATTGAATAGGCCTTTAGAATGAAAATCTTTTCAATCGTCAGATTTCATCGGAATTTCATCGAACCAAAAAGGAATTTTTGATATGCAACGCCTATAACGGCACAAAAATGCAACTCAGTACTCACTGCACTGAGTGACAGAGAGCGCATTTTCTCAAAATCGACGAAAACGTGAAGTCACGGACACACGGACGGACATGACGAGCACAATAGGGAATTTTTCCATAAATGAGAAAATGCACTAAAAAGACAGAAACAAAATAAAAACCATCGAGAAAAACCAGTGGATTCTCCGAGTGCCATAGGAAAGGATGACGTCATCGTTGCCATCAGTGAAATGGAGCGTCCTTGTGAACTGACCAAATTGTCAACAAGAGTCGGGCGTTCATCGCCCGTCAATCCGTTCGATGGTCACCGAGACACGGGCCGTTCAAATCAACGGCAAAATAAAGCATGATGAACGGCCCAATGTAACGCGCAGCCTGACATCCCACGGAATCTCTGCGTTTTTGGAAGCCAATGAGGATGCATCTCTTGGTGTGGCTATCACAAAAAACGACAGACAAGGGAATAAATTGAATATATATGCTGGACTTTACGTAATGAGTATGGTTATAAAATTGTTTAACATCTTATCTTAGATGACAATTAGGTAATGACGAAACAAAAAGTAATGTTTTGCACAAATTTGGCGCATAAAATGTTAAAAAGTTTAAATCTAAGGCTCCTTCAAAGGACAGCCTGCTGGTGAAGAAATAAATCATGAATTGAAAAAGTTAGCTACTCCAAGGTTCAGAACATTTTCAACTTGACAGAACAAATCTTCTGAGCAAATTGATAGCCGATAAATCTTCATCGGTTAAGAGTTAGTTACATTGTCTACAAAAAACAGGCAGCGGAGCAACTAAATTAGAAACTACTCGCATATCCCATATTTTAAAGGCTTTGTTCAGCCATAAGTTATCTACCATTAGCACGACCAAGATTTTCAATTTAACGGTCTCGAGTTGGTCAATTGACCGTAAATGATGGACTGTGCTGGGCCGCAGACGGCATTATCAGTTTGTCGAAGAGCTTTTTGATGAGCAATTAAGCTCAAAATTCAGTATGCTTATAATGCGCCGTGAGCAACAGCAGCTTTACCGCGTGCATTTGCAACGCAAGCAAGCACAACTGCAACGGTCGGGTAGCCGCCTCGTCGCATGCAAATGAGGTGCCGGTGCGGGCACGGAATGTACAGAGCCTGGCACTGTTGCAGTTTTTTAATTCGTTTATGTACCGGACCATCATCATGGGACCATAATTTTTTGGTGAATTGAGCAAATTTTTCTGATCTCTTCCTAATTATTGTAAGTGCATGTTTAATTACGGGCATAATAATTTAAGCATCGAGCAGATAAAATGAAGTTATAATTAAATTTTTGAACCAAGTCATGAATTAATTTTCATATACAAAAACGTAGCGTTTCCCATGGTCGATTGATTGTTTCACTTGTTCAAAGCCAATGGAAACAAGTTCATGGAATATTGAAGTAATAAATAATCAACTTAAGAGTATTCAAGATCGTGCTTCGTTCTTCAGTTGCATGGAAATGTTAGAGTAACCGAGAATATTTATAAGCGGACTTATTGCCTAGGCATCATATGCATTCATCTAAAGCCCACAATTTATATGTAAAATCTCTGGACGCAGCGGTCGAGCAAAACCCAGGCCGAACATTCGATCATCTAAATAGTTTCTTTCTCAGAGAAAGCGTTTTTACTCGTCCCGCAATTAATCTAAGTTAATGGCAAGGGAGAAAAAGCGGAAATATTTCAGCAGTGACAGCAACATCGCCACTCTTGGCGTAGGAGACGAATACATCAATTATTTATTTCCGCGCATAAAAATTTTGAGTGAATTTATAATTTCGGAGAACGTCGGTTTCACAGCTCCAAATCAAGATTTTAATGCATCGCAGGAAAAATTAGAGTGTGACTTGAAGTGTAAAAATTGATACTTTTGTTTGTTTGCATGCCATTTTACATCCCGCAGAGTCAGGCTCACTGATTTTTAACAAGGTGTAAATGATCTAAAGACTGATTTGGGGTTGAAATTTCGTACTACATTTTGAACCATATCATTTAATAAGTTTTTAGAATAATTTATGTCATATTACGCTCTCAATGGTTAAAATATGTATTGCACGCAAACTTAAAACATTATCAGCAACATAAGAGAATTAAAATATAATTTGCTTTTCCACGAGAAGCACTTATTGAAGGTTTTTTTATTGTAT